GCATAGGAAATTATTTTTATTATCTATTATGTTCCTGAATATCGATTTTGTGATATCGACTTTGGAATTGCTGTAGTGTGAAAGCCCTAGCTGCTTATAATAAACACTCAAGCTGTATAGTGGATGTCAATTGGGATAAAGAGTGTAAAATGTACGTTATGGTACTGTTCAGCCACATTAAATGATAACCTAATAACCTCAGGTAAAAGGCTCGGCACTAAATAAACATCTTTTGACTGCTCTTAAGTGGCAAATAATTATCAGCTGATTTTTTTTTTTAAATAAAGTAAATCTTCCCTAATTTACGGCTTTCGGAGGTGAGCAAATAGCACATAGTACCTATGGGTAATGAAAGAGGGGACGTTATGGCATCTATCTAAATGTAAAAGTGCTAACTATCTTTGTTTTACATATGTGGTGTCTCTAAGATGTGACACATAAAACAGACCTTTTTGGCTACGTTCACACTGCAGGCCTTGATTCTCAATTCCGTTTTTTTGCATTCACATTTCCAAATATATGCGACTTGTATGTGAACTCCTGTGTGAACTGCAGTCATACAACGCAAATGTCCCGCATGCACAGTAGAGGACGCAATGACATCACAGGCCAGCGTGTTCTGTGTTTACCGAAATAAACATGGATGGTAGTGCCGGGGCGCATCTAGTGATCTAGCCAACCTTAAAAGCACAATCTTTTTTAAGATGGTTAAACATAAATACTGCTCTCAGCATCACTGTCTGCCTTGGTTGTTGTTTTTCTTGCTGCTTCTGCATCGCAAGACCCAGAATAGTGACCTTTGTCGGGTTTTTATTGGTGTTCAGGTTGGATGAATGCCACCTGGCCGTTTAGACGCAGGTCGCATTTGGAAAGATGTGATTCGTATCGGATTCAGGACCACATAGCCAAGTAGCCTGGGTCGCATTGGAAAAAAAATCGGATCTGTATTGTTCAGACTACCATGAAAAGATCAGATACAGGTCGCATATAGGCCAAAAAATCGGATTTGGGCCACTTCAGGCTGCAGTGTGAACGTAGCCTTTGATGTGCTAAACAATCTGACCTCATTTAACATGGGTTGTCAGGGTTCCTGTGTGTCAGTGAGTGCGAGTTATGCATCTCTTCCAGAGAGGATCTTTGTGGGGAACCTGTGTAGCCTACACAGGTGAAGATAATCTTTCTCATTAGAGTGCTGGGCTTAAAAGAGCCACAGAGCTTTCACTCAGTGCTGCTTTCTTATGTCGTTTCATTGCTTTCTAGTCTCTTGCTTACTTCAAGAACTTTTCCTGACATTTATTGGTTTTGTTGTGTTTTAAGTATTTTTGTCTTTTGTATTTTTTCATTAAATTATCACAAACTGATCTGTGCCTACTTCTCTCTGGATTTGGGTCCTCCACTCAACCTGACAGGGATCATATTATAGTTACTGGACTTTAACAACTCAATAATGCATAACTATATAAAACAGCAGATAGTAATCAGCAGTATTAAGAAACATCCAAAGAGAAAGAAACTTATACCAAGGCAGTACAAAATGCAAAATAAAAAAATTATTTTAAACCAATTTTGTATTTTCCATCTTAAAAAAAAAAAATCTCTAAGATTTGAATATATAAAATCATAAGCATCTATTTACGGAATAAATACAAAATATATCAATATCTGTAATTTAAAAAACAAAGAGTAATTTTAGATGAGCTGATAAGAATGAATAGAAAATCTCAAAGTGTTTACTTTTATTTTAGTTGGTAACTTTTCTAGACAACAGCTAGCACGCCTAATGTAGCGAGACAGACAGCTGGTAAAAATTGTGTTATTGTAGGGGTTTCTGATACATGCTAACTAAATTACACTGTCTTAATCTGTTTTTTTTTTTTTGTCATGTATTTAAAATGCTGCATACTTGGGAAAATCAACCAAGCTGCATGTTTGCCCATTTTTTCCGCTTCCTAACTCCTTCATCATTGCCGCAACATAAAAAAACAGCCAACATTGAATGCAACCATCCATCCATTAACCATTACTTGCTTACCCTTACAGCCCATCTCCGACACTCGCTGTCCAGGAAAACCCCAGGCAGGTGGCCAATGTGCTAAATACATGCAGATGGAAACACACCTATTATGCCCTGCAGATGTATCCAATTTGCACATCATTTGTCCCTTCAACCATAGATAAAGGAGGCGCACAAGTGATCGAAGAAAAGAAATAATGCCAAACAGAACTCCAGGGTTGAGATGATAAGGAATATTCTTAAAGCTGCCAGACCAACGTGTGGCTGCATAGAAAAGTATACATTTAGATTAGTGATCCCACATTACTGGACTAAAGGTCCCAATCAAATATGTTAACATTTGATTAAAAAACTGACTAGATTTTGTTATTTTTATTTCAAAAATATAAAAGCTTTCTTCACATTGCGTAGAGGTTTTCTAGGGCACCTTACCTCCAATTTAAACTGTGTCAGCTCTGCTTCGCTTAGCTGTGGACACCATCACAATCACGGAAAAGCATTTACAACAGACTCTAAACTAGGCATTCCCAAAGTCGGTGCTCAAGGGCCGCTATCCTGCAGGTTTTAAAGGGTTCCCTGCTTTTGCATAGCTGATTTTCATTGATTGCTGATTAACAGGGTTTTGCTGAACTGCAATTATCAGACTCAGCTGTGCTAAAGCAGGGAAACCTCTAAAACCTTTGGGGATGCCTACTCTAAACAGTCACAGTGAGCGACTGGAAAAAAAGGACCGTAACTAGTTACACTTATTTTGTCTGGTATTTGTTAGCTTTCCCCTGTGTCCCTCCATTTAACGGACTAAAATATAGTTTTTACGTGAAAGATTCAAAGTGTACTATCGAAAACGAATAAATCATTTTCAACAATTTCCATTAGAGAAAAAAAAGATAGATTTCCCTTCCTGTGACATCGCTAAGCTACATCAACCTTGTTGTTTTTCTTTTTCTACACAAACACTGTTTTTAGAGTTTGGCAGATATGCGCTGCTATCTGAGCATACAGAGCATTTTGTCCTTGATGCAGGAAACAGATTTACTCAGGCTCACATTCAAAACCTAACTTTATACGGAACCAAACGACCCATTCATCGGTTACCATTTGCATGTTTCCAAGCAAAACAAGGCTTTGTCTATATAAGACTCAAACTCACTGCGGATCCAGACATTTGAATTGAGAAAGCTTCCTGGAGAGGTGGAGAAACGTCTTCAAATCTTGGAAACCAAGTCCAGTGGATATTTTTTTGAATTTTTATGGAACTAACCTTATAAATACATCAACTAAACAGACATTATCCCTGCACTGTAACTGTACAGTATCCCTCTCCAATAAAGACACAGTGTCCAGACATTTTGTTGATACAGAAGCAAGAATACCAGATTATCAGACAAGGTTTTCCATGTAGCTTCCAAAAATATGGATCTGAGGACAAAGGCCCCAATACAGCATGACAATTTCATCTGCTTAATAGGAAACATGGCTACCAACAACATAGATGGAGAAGAATCCTGGTAATGTATTTACTGTGTTGTTGTTTGAATGTGGCACACTGACTGAAAGCAGCAATGGTGGGAATGCGATGAGATCAGGACTCATTTTGAGGACCAGGGGTTATTCCTTGGAGATTAAGCTCCTTTTGTACCCATAATGCATTACCTGCAAACTCTCACCTCTGTTTCAACCTCTACACTTGATCTGTTCCACCTGAATAATTCACCATAACTACCCTCTGCTATGCTCTTCCTCTTTACACTCTCACTGAGCCTTTTTTACATTGAACAAAGCCTGGAATCATTGAAGGAATCAAGAAAATCTCAGGGTTAAGTACAGATTAGTTACACAAGGTTTCACAGTTTAGTGTATTTAATTTTATTCTAAATGATGAAGAAGGTTATAAAGCATAGAGATGTCAGCATTTTGTGTTTTTTGTTCAATATGAAGAAACTGGAACCGATGTAAACTGGAACAAAACACCTGCAAGCCACATTACAGCAAAGTGCAGCGATATAAAGAGCAGCTAGCTCCATCAAAAAAATGAAATATGTGCGATTCAGTTCTCTGCAGTTTATTCTCACAGAGTAGAAGTTTGGTGTAAATATTTAAAGCTGGCATGAAAAGTGTTTCTTCTTAACGTCTTTGCTGTTCTCCTCTGAGGATATTTCTTCCTTTTTTTCTTTTTCTTTGTATCCGCTTTTGATATCATAAGACAGAACGGGACAAAACGGAGTGAAAAACAAAACAGCCTCTACTTACAGAAAAGTGTGCAGCTTTATTAGAGTCATAAATCAGATTAACTTTTGGTATTGATACAACACTGATAATTGAATTGAACACATGCTTTCCTGAGTCATATTTAAAATTTGGTTTGATCGCTTGTTACATGAACCTGTTCTAGAAAAATTATATCAGTCCTGTTAAAGCTGCAAGCAAAATAATTGCTATTTAGGTCATTGGTATTCATCAGCACCCCCTGTGTGATTCTGGAACTGAACCAGCAAAGACCAGCTATACATGATATCAACTATCAGAGCTTTTAATTCATTTTTCCCAGTTAGGCAGATTAGAAGTTTTTACTGGTTTTATTATTTGTCTGTAGTTATTTTTTTTTTTTTTATTCAAATCATTTTTTTGTATGTTTGATCAACATTACATGTAAAAATTGTGCTTAAATTATGCTTTGACTCCCTTTGACTGCTTCATATTTTTCTTTTGATGAAATGAATACATGTATAGCATCAAGATAAAGATTTCCAAACTTCTTGTGAAACAATGGCTTATATTACATTCTCTATTTGACAAAATTGCATATAAAAACAACTATTTATTTGACGCTGTTTTTTTTCCTCTCAAATAATAAATGTACTCAAATTAATGTGATGCATAGTCAGCCTGCTATTGCAATAAAATACAAAAATACAGTTGTTTTTGGGTAAAATGGGACAATAAAAATCCAATTATCAACTGTATCTGGGAAGCATGCACTACTCACAACAAAGCATGGCCCAGCTGAAGTCTTCAGGCATTCCTCCAGAAGTTTAATTCGGAGTCTCTGCAAGTCTGGATTGTCCCACTCCTCTGGATCAACTCCCCAGTATAGATCCACCACCTGAAAAAGCACAATAACACGAGCAAAGAGTAAGTCTGAATATGCAGGAAAGCTCATCTTGTAGGAGAACCTTGAAAAATTACTCTTACACCTAAAACATTCAAAATCCTTCACTTTTGGACATTTTGCAAACACAAAACTAATCATATTTTACTCAGATTTTAATTACACATCAAAGCAAAGTAGCATTTTCATTTCAGACAGAGGAAAAAGTTATGTTTTTCAAATTGTATACATTCAGTTTTCCTTGAATCAATCCTTCATGAATCACGTTTTGCTGCTGTTTCAGTTATATAACATTTAGAATACATCGCTAGCTAGCACATCTAGAAACTAAAATAGTCATCTGCTCTTCTTTGTAAAAAAGATAATGCTTCATCGGATTCGATGGAAAGGGCTTGTTTACACCATTTTTAACATTTTACTCAAAAACGTCTTTTCTATTTCCCATTGTACAACAAAGATCAGATTTCTGCAGTGCCTGACTAATAATTGTCCTATTTACCTAAATAAGCTGTAGCTTTCTGCTGTGGTCATCAGTCTAAACCTAAACCACTAATGTTCTCTATCAAACCTCTGGGTTCTTCCCAGAACAGCTGCACTAGAAAGAATTGGACTGTCAAATGCACACCACAGAGCAAACAGTTGAAGAAGGTGCTCCTATAAAATAAGGCCAAAGCTTGAATTAATTATCTACATGCTAAATTATTCTGTGGCAGAATAATAGCACTATATATAAAGCCACCATCTCTGCTATAAAAATGGGTTTGGCAATATAATGCTGTGGGAATTTCCCCTAGATTTCCCTCACCCATATTCTGAGGACCACAGGGCCCCTCCTGCACTGCCACTAAAACTACCACTTTACATAACACTGTAACATTTTTTTATTAAAGACACTACTGAGGTCAGACAGATCTTAGGGTAGATGATTCAACTTTGGAAATTATGAACCTGGTGCTTAAAGAACAGCAGAAAGACCAAATATTAATGTAGACTTTGGGGGGAAGCAAAACCAACCGGTGTGCCCTTTCTACATCAACAGCTAGTGTGTGGAAAGAGTCCAAAATTTCCGGTTCCAAAAGGTCCAGATCACTGAATTTTTAATTGAAAAAGCTTCCTGGATGGGAAGCAAAATGTCATCAAACTTGGAAACAAAGTCCAGTGGATTGTTTTTTTTTTTTACTTTTTTGGAATGACTATGACCTGGATGACAGAATCTTCACCAGCATCTCTTATGACATTTCTTGGACTGTAAACACTTCTGCTGTATCAGAATGCCCAACAATGTCTAGAAATTCCGAGAGTCATCAGGAAGTGCAGCCTAGACAAGAAGTTGTTGCTGGCCTTCTTGTTGACAAATACACTCATTTACTGCTGTGTACTAGTATGGAAACTGCACTGAAGCAGACAGAGTGAGGGTTTATCATGGACAGCTCACACCCAGGTTGTCAGCTGTTTGAGCTTCTGCCCTCTGGAAGGCCTTACAGATGCATCTAAGCTAAGACAGACTTAGAAAGAAACAGTGGATCATTTGAAATAGTGTAAATCAAGGACACTTAAACCAAAGCAGTGATTGGCATGATGCTATCCGAAGAATGCTAGAAGTAAGGAAGGGGGTAGGAAGAGAAAGCAGGAGGTTTAATTTGCAATAAGGGCCTCCTGACATTCCTATACTTCACAAGGAGCCCAAAATTGCATTATTTCTTCACATTTACTCTGTGTGACACATGCAAAAGGTTGATTGATTGATTAATTGACTTTATTGATCTCACAGTGGACAAATGTACTAGTTACATCGACTCAATAGTCAAAAAAGAGAAGGTGCCAAAAGGAGGAAACGGTATATATATATATATATATATCTATATATATATAGATATATATATATATATATCTATATATATATATATATATATATATATATATATATATATATATACAGTACAGAACTTTTTCATTTAAAGCGTTTTCTTTCTTTTCATGATTATGAAAACTGTAGATTCGCCCTGAAGGCATCAAAACTATGAATTAAAATGTGGAATTATATACTTAACATAAAAGTGTGAAAAAACTGAAAATATGTCTTATATTTCTACTTCTTCAAATGAGCCACCTTTTTGCTTTTATTTACAGCTTCGCACACTCTTGGCGTTAATTGATTGGATTACCAAAATTTTTATTCATAAAACAAATTTACCATCCAGCAATAAGTGGTATTTGAGCAGTCGTGTATTAGCATTGGTCTATTATGAATGATTTTTATCTAAAATATAAAGAAACCTGTGGTCTAAATGTGACAAAATGTGAACACTGTTGGATAAATCTATAGTTTTGCAAACTAAGAGTGCAAAAAAAGAAAAACCACAGCAGAGATACTGATAGATATTATACGGCTCTAAATTAAACATATCCATCATAACAAAGAACGAATGCAATCCTAAAAACTAAAAACATGCAACTGCTTCTCAATCCTACATTTTATCAAATGGTGAAAAATCAGTCACATGACATAAATGGGACCTTATTTTTTCTACATCTTGAGCTAAACTGAAGGCAATTAGTTTTTCCACACTCAGATATACAGACTGTTCCATTGAAACATTCTCAAAGGCACACATATTTCTAAGATTGGAGCAGGGAGACACACACCTGCAAGCATCCTCACTCACCCTATTCATCAAAAAGTTCTGGCTGTTGAGACAACTCTGACTGTAACAACACCGCAGGGGGGAATCTCCTGCTGTAGGAGAGAATCCTGAGGAACTGCCTGTAAATGTGTGTATGTGTGGCGGAAACCAGGGTGAAGCTGCATTTACAGGACAACAACCCCCCCCCATTGCAGCTTCCTGGCTCCCTGACAGCTTCTATCCTGCTGGCTGTGATGTGTGGCTCCAAGCATTGTTCCTGATGGCCTTGCAGCTTTCAAGGAGAAGCAGTTTAGATAAAAGATGCAGGTGTAAAACGCATGAGGGACATGCTCATCATCTTTTGATTCCTCTGCCTCCTGTCTGTCATGGTGAGTTCCTGGATCATACCTTTATGCTCCTCTGCTCAAAAGACAAATGGTCTGAAATGAATTCAGCGTGGGGCGAAATGAGTGGCACATCTGCAGGTTTTGGTGGAGAGAATGACTGGCAGGCCACTTCACCCACAAATTGAACTTGTGAGTCAACTTTGACAGGCGGGGAAACTCTCGCCTCTACAGTTATTGGTAGGGCTGGAAATACACCTCTGTTCATATCGTTGATTGCTGTCATGCACCTGGGAAAAAATGTGTTACTACCCAAGGAGACAGCTGTCGACTAGCTGGACATTTTTTTTGTCTGGTGAGCAATATAATCAATTCCAAAATTATGTCTAGACCCAGCCTCATTTAGTCCTGAACATCTCGAGGGAAATTTAGACCACATAGAGCTCTTAAACTTTAGCCTTTAAAACTTGGCTCATATGAAAGTTTATTTTTCACCCACGTTCTCGCCGCTGATGTTCATAGCAACATTTCAAATAACACAGTCAGTTGCTGAGATGGGAGTGAGGTAAACATATTGATTACTGGTAGAAGAAAACAACAGCAATAAGAGACAAAACTTAAAAGCTTAGGGGGCAAAAACATAGACACTGTAATATCCCCTTTTACAACTATTGGGTATATATATAAACCTCTGTGTATAAAAATGAGCTGTTTTCAGTCAATGACACCCCAGTTTTGCCTTTTAGTGTATATGATATGAAACATCAGCTGAATCTTTCCCAGAGCTGCTGGCTGACATTGCTGTACAGTTGAAAAGGTGGGCAAGATTCAGCTGTAGATGTGCACCTCAAATCAAAACCTTTGAAGACCAAAGTGTTCAGACTGTGGACTGGGAGGGCAGATGGTTTGAAAGAAGCATCAATAAAGCAACCTTTGTGAAAAGAGAAAAGCCATAACTGAACAGAGGGGGAGGAGATCAGTTTCAGCTTCAAAGCATTTACAATTCAGTCATGGAACTAATTCACAATAAGTCATATAAGCCCTCCCATTATGATTGAAAAGACCAATCATATAGCCCCTGCACAACAAAGGGCTTCCAAATTTCAGAAGAACAAAGGGTAGCCATTAGCCTGATAAACCAGACTAAATGTGAGATTAAATGTGTAATTTAGCCTGGCCCCGATGAATGAGACATCGGAAGATAGTTGATGAGAACGACCCGTTGTTTTTCAAACCATGTCTGTGCCTATTGGCTTACGCTCTGACCAATGAGCGCAACGGACTGTGACGTAGTAAGTGCGACAGAAAGCTGGTGAGGGAGTGTAAACAAACAGCCTGTTGACAAAACGGCGAATATGTCCTTCTTAAAAATGAATGAGCGTCTTCCTGCTCACATTTCAACGAAAACAACTTCCAAAACTGATTCCAAAGCTGAGTCAAACATTCATCAGAGCCAGCGGTCCTTTACACACGACTATGCCGAGAGGGCCGCTGTAGACGGGCTGCAGTAAGCCCTCGCTTCCGTTAGCCTCGGAGGTCTGCTGGTTGCCTTGTTTTTTTAATTACGCATTAAATCGGTAAATTGACCATATAGTAACGCTTCAAAGTATAATGTTCTTGCCTCGAACGATCTTAAAACGTACTTTTACTGAACAACAACAGAAAAGAGAACCTTTAACTTTCAATTAAAAGCTGCTACTGCTGCAGTGCATGCTACTGTTTATTAGTTGTTTCGATCTTCCTTGTTGTGCTTTCTCCAGCGTCCCGCAGCTTTGTTGTCATGCCCTAAAAAACCCTGCCCGCTTTGCATACAAAAATTTAAAACACATCTCTGCGTTGTGATTGGCCCGCCAGTTCTAGGGCCTGGGGCATTGATCAAGGCTAGACCACTGGCAGGAAAAAATTATCTTGGCCGCTGGAGGGTGGGGCTAGTTTACTAGGCTAGGTGGCCATGTGATTAGCATCTGACTTAGAATGTGTGCAGTAGGTTGGTCCTCCATGCTGCTCAAATACTTCAGCGCTCCAA